GCTTGAAGATGCAGTGGACGCCAGAGCATGCCCAGTGGCCAGAACAGCACTTTGACATCACCTCGACCACTCGGTCTCCTGCCCACAAGGTTGAAGCCTACAGAGGTCATCTGCAGCGCACCTATCAGTATGCCTGGGCGAATGATGACATATCTGCTCTGACTGCATCCAACCTACTAAAAAAATATGCAGAGAAGTATTCTGGCATTTTGGAAGGCCCTGTGGACCGACCTGTACTCAGCAACTACTCAGATGCACCATCAGGACTAGTGAATGGTCGGAAAAATGAAAGCGAACCCTGGCAGCCTTCCTTGAATTCAGAAGCTGTTTATTCCATGAACTGTGTTCCAGATGTCATCACTGCCAGCAAAGCTGGAGTTAGTTCAGCCCTCCCTCCAGCAGATGTCTCTGCAAGTATAGGGAGCTCTCCTGGGGTGGCCAGCAACCTGACAGAACCTAGTTATTCCAGTAGTACCTGTGGAAGCCACACTGTACCTAGTCTTCATGCAGGGCTCCCATCTCAGGAATATGCCCCAGGATACAATGGATCATATTTGCATTCTACGTACAGTAGCCAAGCAGCACCTGCACTTCCCTCACCTCATCCATCTCCTCTGCATAGCTCTGGGCTCCTACAGCCACCACCGCCACCTCCTCCGCCACCAGCCCTGGTCCCAGGCTACAATGGGACTTCTAACCTCTCCAGTTATAGCTATCCCTCTGCTAGCTATCCTCCTCAGACTGCTGTGGGATCTGGGTACAGCCCTGGGGGTGCACCTCCTCCTCCTTCAGCGTACCTGCCTTCAGGAATTCCTGCTCCTACCCCTCTGCCTCCAACCACAGTTCCTGGCTACACCTACCAAGGTCATGGTCTGACACCTATTGCACCCTCAGCCCTGACAAACAGTTCAGCAAGCTCTCTCAAAAGAAAAGCTTTCTATATGGCAGGGCAAGGGGATATGGACTCCAGTTATGGAAATTACAGCTATGGCCAACAGAGATCTACACAGAGTCCTATGTACAGAATGCCCGACAACAGCATTTCAAACTCAAATCGGGGGAATGGCTTTGACAGAAGTGCTGAAACATCATCCTTAGCATTTAAGCCAACGAAGCAGCTAATGTCCTCTGAACAGCAAAGGAAATTCAGCAGCCAGTCCAGTAGGGCTCTGACCCCTCCTTCCTACAGTACTGCTAAAAATTCACTAGCATCAAGATCCAGTGAATCCTTTGGGAAGTACACGTCACCAGTCATGAGTGAGCATGGGGACGAGCACAGGCAACTCCTCTCTCACCCAATGCAAGGCCCTGGGCTCCGTGCAGCTACCTCATCCAACCACTCTGTGGACGAGCAACTGAAGAATACTGACACACACCTCATTGACCTGGTAACCAATGAGATCATCACCCAAGGACCACCGGTGGACTGGAATGACATTGCTGGCCTTGACCTAGTGAAGGCTGTCATTAAGGAAGAGGTTTTATGGCCAGTGTTGAGGTCAGATGCATTCAGTGGACTGACAGCCTTACCACGGAGCATCCTTTTATTTGGACCTCGAGGAACAGGCAAAACCTTATTAGGCAGGTGCATAGCTAGTCAGCTGGGGGCCACATTTTTCAAAATCACTGGTTCTGGCCTAGTTGCCAAGTGGCTAGGAGAAGCAGAGAAAATTATCCATGCCTCTTTCCTTGTGGCCAGATGTCGCCAGCCCTCGGTGATTTTTGTTAGTGACATTGACATGCTTCTCTCCTCTCAAGTGAGTGAGGAACACAGTCCAGTCAGTCGGATGAGAACCGAATTTCTGATGCAGCTGGACACTGTACTAACATCGGCTGAGGACCAAATCATAGTAATCTGTGCCACCAGTAAACCAGAAGAAATAGATGAGTCTCTTCGGAGGTATTTCATGAAACGACTTTTAATCCCACTTCCTGACAGCACAGCGAGGCACCAGATAATAGTACAACTGCTCTCACAGCACAATTACTGTCTCAATGACAAGGAGTTTGCACTGCTTGTCCAGCGCACAGAAGGCTTTTCTGGACTAGACGTGGCTCACTTGTGTCAGGAAGCAGCGGTGGGGCCCCTCCATGCCATGCCAGCCACAGACCTCTCAGCCATTATGCCCGGCCAGTTGAGGCCCATTACATATCAAGACTTTGAAAATGCTTTCTGCAAGATTCAGCCTAGCATATCTCAAAAAGAGCTTGATATGTATGTTGAATGGAACAAAATGTTTGGTTGCAGTCAGTGATAACTTCTTTTAAAAAAAGTGTAATGAATGTTGGCACACGCACATAAAACCTGCTACATAGGGTATAGAGTCCCTTTCCAGTAGTGTTTAAATTGCAAAGGGTACTGGGGAAGACGATGATTAAGTTGCATCTTTAGAGTCAGGGTAGATTTGGAGAAAAAAATGCATCAAATAAGAGCTTCTGATTTGAAAGCCCCAGGTGACAGAAAGCATCTGTTGATGCTCAGTTTGGTTCAAGCTAGACAACACTCACCAAGGAGCAAGGTGCAAGTGTGTTGACTTCAGAAGGACATGAACCTCGTGTGTTGATTCCATTCTGCTGTTCTCGAGATTTAGTTGCTGTCAAGTGCCTGGAGTGGTGCTTTATTTTTTGTTTGCCTCACAATTACATTGGTGGCATGTGCTAATATAAAGAGCTTTAACTTCAAACATTATTGGACTAAAGAGATGAACGGTTGTGTTATGACAGAAAACCAGATTTTTGCCATTTTAAGAGCAACAGTATTCCTCAATCCTGTCTGTTCTACAGTATTAAGCTAAGAACAGGTAAAACAGGGTAACGGTAATCTGGACCTTAATTTCTGCAGTTCATTTCTTTTAATGTTCTTGTCTGCAAAAACTCAGGAAAGCGATTGTGATTTGTACAGTACCTCAAAGGAATGTGTTGAAAGCACTATGTACTGCTGAGAGTAATGGGATAGGCTTCAATGTTACTTTATATTAAAATGTATGTTTACCTCAACAATTGGAAAATAGCAAGGAAAATTACTTTGAATGTATCCAGAAAAATAATTAAGTGTGATACAACTGAATATTTACAATTTAAAGTAGAAATGGAAGGATTTTTTTAAGTTTCTTTTACTAATTATGGGGAATTAACCAGAGCAGAGTAATTCTTTATGTCAATAACTGCAAGAATTCTTCGTACATTGCTCCTTGGTAGTGAAGTGAAAATGTTCTCAAAAGGTACACTGGTTAATGGAAAGCTACTTCTTCAGTTTGTGTTAGTGTCTAGGACAGTCAGCTGCAAAACCTGTTTAGGACTCTGAAAGTCACAGTGCCCCAAAACTGGGACTGCGTTGTACCGCATAGTTGGTGGTGGTGGTGGTGGTGGTGGTGGTGGTGGTGGTGGTGGTGGTGGTTTGCAAGTTCTCTCTTAAAACTGCTGGGAATGGTGTTATTCTATTCACTAATCTAGCTTATTGGCTTGCCATGCTGTTTGATAGAACTCGGAAGACAGCAACCCAAGCAAACAAACATTATTAATAAATAAACACAAAAGGCAACCAACCAACTTATATATACCCACAAAGAATGCCCACATCCCCTCTCCTTCTTTTTGACTCCTCTCTTGTCAGTGCAATTGTGCTTCTCATTTTAAAATCTTCTGGGCTGTAGTGCTCCCACATTCATTTCTACCTCAGTTTTGTTACATTTCTCCTGGAAAGTAAAGTTGAAAATCGGAAGTGGACACACAAACGCACACACACAAGATATCTTGCCAAACATGTCACTTTGTTTTCTTCCACCTTTTCCCATAAACCTAGTTTCCAAATACATCAGTCTTCCTGCTTACATCTCCCTGATTCTACCTCCCACCCCAAGAGCATATGTGGCATTTTTCTGAATTTCTTATTCCTCTCCTCCCCACCAAGTTGTTCTTTGTATCCTTTAACGCTTTTACGTGCAACTTCTCCTTGATAGCTGACTGGTGCTCGGCAATGCCTCTAAACAGACAATGTAGGCTGTAGCTTTCCAAAGCCACTGCCCATGCATAAGCAGAACAGCCTGGCTTTTTGAATGTATTTTTCCTGTTTTTTTTTTTCTTTTTCTTTTTTCCCTTTTTTTTTTTGTTCAAGAGATGCAGTAAGAAAACTCTTGCAAAGCACTGGCATTTTATGTATTCAAAAAGTGATGTACATTTTTTAAAATTTTAAATAAATGCAATGGGAAGCCCCAAGAAAGTTCTTTCTGTTATTGTTTTTTTTTCTTTAGAAATTTTTACTGATTTCATTCACAATGTGAAATTCTCTGAAACACAATGTAGAGAAAGCTAATGAGAACTTCATGATATTTCTGAAATTTTATGATGCTTGATCCATTACTCCTTGTTTTTCTTATTTTTCATGTTGCTAAAAACTGAGCAAATGAACCAGAATTTAATGTACTCTGATGTTCTATGATTTAAAACTGTGCTCACATACAAATATTCCACATTAAAAAGCAGTGCCTTTCATGAAGGATACAAAAATAATGTTTAAGTACATCCTCAGCTTCTTGCAAGTGAAAAAATGCTACAGTTGTGATCTGGCTCTACCCTGCACACTCCCTATGGTAAGGAAATTCTAATATCCCCATTAACTTGTATGTTCATATTGATCCCCCCCGACAAGTTTACTTTTGCACAGTATTGACCTATTTTCTGTGTTTTAGACATTACATTTCATTTCTGCCAACGTGCTGTGTTCACTTGAAAGCAACCGGCAAGTTTTGGTAAATTCTGTCTTATTTAGACAACTTTGGAAAATCCAACATTGATCCAGATTTTTTGTGGCTAGGAAGAGTTAATGCCAAATATATGACTGCACTATTATGTTTTACACTTGTTTATAAAACTGAAAATAAAGTCATACTTATTAGCTTTTAGCTTTAAGTGACTTAAAAATTACTTTGAGGTATCAGTGGTCAAAATTCCATGTATTTAGGCAGAAGCTGAATCTGTGTGTGAATTTCATTTAGTCTCCTGAATTCGAGGATTTGATCTCTTAGAAAATGGGCATGCTGATGCAGTGAAGATGTGTTGGGGGAGATAAGGCTGACCTTTGGGTAGATCATGCTCTCCTGTGATTCTTTGATTCTACGTGACAGCATTATGAGCTATTCTATGGACTAGCCTAATAATGAGCTCCTTTCTGACCATCCCTTCTGGAGCTTAGGGTGGGGGTGGGGGTACCACATCCACAGCAGTGAATACATACAATCAGTGATAGTACAGCTGAGTAATATGGCTTCATACTCTTGGCCTTGTTTTGACTGCTAAGAATTTGGTGAAGGCTACTAATGAAGGTAAGGAGGTAATGAGCCAGTCTAAATCCCTTGCTGTCTGGCCAGGGGATTTGAGCCAGTCCACTTAACAGCCCCTAATTCTCTTCTTCACAACTGCAATAACGTTTTCAACAGGGACAAAAAGGAAGTGAAGGAAACCACTTCAGAAGGATCAATAGAAATTCAAGAGGTAGTTCATAATAACCTTATGTGTGACACAAATGGAAATACTCTACACTTCTGGCATGCTTCTCACCAAAATATTTAGAACATTAGTGACAATATGGAAAACTTTGCTGACTGAGCTGATCAATGGAATGTGAAGGCAGTATACTTTAAGGCTATTTACTTTCACACAGAATGTTTATCTATTAGTCAGTTTGTATTCTACTCAAATGCAGATAGACGGGTATAATGTTTTCTTGTGCATTTGAAACCTATCAAGGAGAAAATAAACCATTCCACTAAAATACATAGGCCAAACACCATCTGGGAAAGTGATAAAAGCTATCCAGAGGCTATGCTATGTAAAATAGCAAGGTCAATTTGCATGGGTTGCATAGTCCTTGGCTATGCAGTTTTCAAAACACTACATCCAAGAAAATCCAAATTAATTTCTACACTAGGTCTTTGTAAATTTAAATATATTTGTGGGTTGTAAAACATGTTTTAGAGGCATTTGTAATTTCTGTCTCTGAAAATGTGTCCAACTCCAAGCAGAAAGATACTTCTATAATCCCATTCTTGTGTTTCTTAACAAGAATTGGGTATCATGATCGGTGAAACTGTATTTTGCAAAGTGAAAGGGACACAGTTTGTTGAACTATTGAGGCCACTAAAGTAAAGTTCTAATATATATACATATATATATATATAAAGTTAGTGTGTGTATGTGTGTGTGCTGTTTTCACCGCCTATTTGAGCTTTAAACTAACATCTATTTTACATTATTCAGAAAGAACTGTTTACTTCCATTCTTCACGTGTGCAGATATACATGAACACTTTACAAATAGTGTTTTGATATGTTTCTTTTGAAAAGCTTTTGGTTTTTGAATCACCTGCCGATTTTCATATGAAGCACATTAGCGAATATGGACTATTAGTATTTCAGAATTCAAAATCAGCTGTACTTGTGACTAACCAACACATGAACTGACGCTCACACTCTGCTAAGACCTCTGCTTGACATTCGATTTTGAACCTGCCAGATGCATTTGTGCGAACCAGGGATACTGCATCTTTAATGAACAAGTCTCTCCTCTTTCCCTTGTTTTTAAATACAACACAAGCAGTGTAGCACTAGGCACTGCAATTGTCAAAGACAATTAGACTGAAAGCAGGAAAATTTCACCTCCCTGTCTCAGTGATATGTAGAATGTCGGCAGCATGGGTCAGCCTTGCCACAGAGTTGTGTGAGAATATATGAATCAGTCTTATAGAATGTTAAATATTTATAAAATGGTTCTGTAGTACACCAAGATTGGGAGCACATTCATTCCTTCTTGTTGCTTTATGATACAAAACAAAAAAAAGCAAAAGTTTATTTCTAGGATTAAAACTAAATATCTCTTACCAACCTCTCTCACTTGTGTGTGTGTGTGTGTGTGTGTGTGTGTGTATGTGTGTGTTGTGTTTCCTTGTGGATTATATACAGTTGCTAGAGAACATTCATTTCTTTTTTTCTTTTACTCATCTGACGTATATTCAGACATTGTTCTTTATAACCATTTCTACCTCATTGCTACATATTGTACATGTAGTATTTATTTGTTGTCTTTTTTTGAATGTCATGCATTTCGTAAGAAAAAGACTTGTCCTTGAACTTGAACAGTCTACCTCAGAAAGACTGTCTTTACACTGAACAGTATTAGCAACCTAAATGATAAGACGCATTAGCGAAGTGTGGCAGGGTAGATAATGCACGAGTACTTGGGATACTGATGGACTTTTAATTGTACTCATAACACTAGACTGCTTAAAAAACTTAAAAGAAATTGTGCACTGTGTAGGTCTTCATCAATGTCCCATTTGGGGCATAATATACACAATACAGCTTTATTCCTATGCACCCATCTCTGAGAAATACTAGCATTCTCAAGTATTTTACACTGGTAATCTGGCTAAACTAAAACAACATTTTTATATTCTTTTGACTGACAACCTCAGCTTCCAAATTTTAGAGAAATTATGGTATTTGATTATTTTTAACTGCAGTCCTGAGTGATTTTAAATGCCTTCATTATAATTCTGTAACTCCTGATATAAATTGATAAAGAACACTGCAGTTGCAAGGACCTGCACAGCACTGAAAAGAAACCAACAAATTTAAAAATGGAACTTCCAAAAGGAATAAACAACATGGAGTCCTGGGTGCTTGCAAATTTCGTAGGTAACTGAAAGCATTTTGTTTCTGATTTCCCATTATAACTATTTGTTTATCGAAGTAATTGTACAACTAATGGCACATCAAATTACTTTGTATGAAGAGTTTTGTGTTTTACTATTTATTTTAGCATTTGTTCTTTTTCTTTGCCAGCTCTAATGTGTAGTAAAAGAACACTCGCTTTTAAAAAATGCTAAAAAGGGGCCACCACCCACCCAATCGCTGAATGGACTTTTGAAGTTGCTTGTCAGCAAATTGTGGATATTTTACAACAGCAAATGAACTGTGACAATCCACAACTCCCACAGATGTGAATTCAGAAATACATTTGAAATTCCCGGTATGCCTGACAATCTATTCTTTAAGTTTCCTTAACAAAGTGGCATCCAATCCTTTCATTTACAGTTCCTTGCAGGAATGTATTGTCTAGAGGCTGTCTAGTAGTGATTAAGAGAGGATTTTGTTTTGTTTTGTTTGTTTACTGTATTAGGTGAGGAATGCCATATTTCTTGTCAGCTAACAGTACTTGTCTGAGACAGAAATAAAAAAAGAAAGAAAGAAAAGAAACCTAACTAATTAAAATTTCTGTGCACTTTGCTTCCCTAACCATATTGATTTTATTTGCTTAAATTGAAACAATATGCTGGATTTG